CTCTGCTCCTATGATGCTGCTTGGCCTGCTGTGTTCATCCAGCCCTGAAACTACTTTAAGTTGGGAGGAAGTTCTGTTCCTCATTCTGAATCTTACCAACTAAAGCACTGTTTTCTTTAAAAGCTGCACAAACTGGTGACAAAGTATCCCAATATGGAAATATGAACACACTGCCTGTGCTCATCCTTACACCCAGGTCATGTTCATCCATCACCTTGCTCACCTACATTGGAGCCTGTTAAGCAATGCTTTGATTTAAAAATTCTCATCCTTGATTTTGTTCCTTCCCATCTCTACATGTAATCTCACAAAATCCTCTGAGATATCCGCATCCCTCACTGTGATTGCTCCAACACTGGATGTCCCTGTCTTTAGCTGCCTAGAATCCAACTTCTGTAATTCTCTCCCTCACTTCTCCATCTCTTATTATTTTCTAAGGGACTCCTTACTGCACACATCTTTGACCAGGCTTTTGGCCATCTCTCCTTATGTAGCTTGCTGAGACATGGGATACTGTATTACATGAATAATTTGTTCACTTTGAAATCACTGGTTTTCATGAAAAGCCAAGCCCTCTGAACTCCACAAATGGATTATTGAGTCTAATAGCCACTGAGTGAGTTGGCCTAGATCTCTGGCTCCAGCTCTCTTCTAGTCTGCGTTAGCTAATCTCTGCTGAGACAGCCATTTGGAGAATGTAATTGGCATTAGCAAGGCTGAGCTGGATAAGTGAGCTCGGGTTTTTGTCCTTGTGTATTAACCTTTCCTGGAGAATATGCAGCTGACTTCTGCTCGGTTTAAGATCACCGAGTTATCCAGCTAGGAACTGCAGTGGACATCTATACTGTACCACTCATGGGTCGCTCATTTGAGTTCCAACATTTAATCAAACTCCCCAAATATAACAGTCCCTGTGAGGTGTTGCTTCTTTCACTATCTAACAGACACAGTGCTAACCCAGCAAAGGTGTACCTTCCTTAAAAACTGTTACATCTTTCTTTGGGTCCCACAGCACTGTATAAAGTTTGACTGTCCTGACCTCCTGTAAAGATAATTTAAACAGTTATTAAAATGTTGCTTATCATCTCCAGAGATACAGGCTTGGACACAGGGTGTGGCACCATTGATACTGATACTTCAGAAGGTCCAAAAGACAAAAATGGCGCAGGCTACACTTCTGGCTTTGGAAGTATGTGGGCACTCCACAGAAGTGCCTGGTAGAGCTACCAGAATATCATTTAGCCGCTGCGGCTGATTTCACGTACATTTCAGAAACTTGGACTGCACACGTTCACACTGAGCACTCTCAGCTCAACAGGGCATCCGGTAGTCCCACAGAATCAGCCTCGCCTGTCCCAGCTAGCATTACCTAAAGGGCCAAGGATCAAGTTGGTGGGTGAGGTGCTTTAGACTTACTTTTACTGTTAGAAAGTGAGTGACTGTCTGTGACTTGTTCATGGAGGTTTTGCTGTGGGCTGCTGCACACATTCAGGAAGGCGAGAGGATTGGATGGCCCAACTCTATATGAGGTACGGGAGACTGTGGTTATCGTACCTCTGGGCCTGCAAGATAACCAAGACACTTTGTCCGAGTGAACAAGACTTGGTATACAAGCGGAGGAAACAAGAACGTGAAAGAAAACCCAGTGATCAAAGGTGTCTGCTGGTTCTCATGCAGTATTTGCAGTGAGAGAAAGATCTGTGAGGATGGAAATGGTGCTCTCCACAAATGGCTCTTCCCTCCCAATCAAAATGGCTGACTGTTTGAAGCCTGTGATGATCCCAGGGAAATACGTCTAATGAATATTTCGCCAGCTACTGGTTTCTCTCTTTATTCATTTCTGGGACTTCAAGGATGCCAGATGCCAGTTTCAGAGTGGAAGGTTAGCTGTAGATGCCAGTGTAATGTCCTGGCACTCTGACACTGTAGCTAGAAAGGTCACATACAGCACTAAGATCAAATGCACAACCACCCGCTTGACTTCCTACATACGTAGATGGCCCACTGTGTCAAGGTTGTAAATGGGAATTTAGTATGGGAGGAGAAACCATTGCCTCATCCTACATTACACCCCTCAATGCGCAGTTGATTACTGTAGCAATGCCCTATTATGAATGCATTGGATACATTTAAGTGGAAATCAGATAAACATGAGGGAGAAAGTAATAGAATAATATTATGGTCAGGTGGAGCATTAACAATGACACAGACCTGCTTAGTCAAATGGCCTGCTTCTGGGCTGTAAATAATTTGCAATCCGTACTAACCATTAGGCTTTTATGCCAAACCTGCACTATCGTTATTTTAAATTTGCCATCAGTCTCTCTCAAAATGAACATTGCCAAAATGTTCTGAGAGAACCAAGTATAGCAAACCTTAGAAAACAAAGCTGACAGAATAAAGAATGGGCGGTACTTTCCTTCTCTGGTTACAATCTGTCGGCTGGCCTAGGTACCAAACTCTCAGCAACCCAGATCATTTTCTGGGGTTGTTTGGAAATCCTTCAAGAGCTGCACTAACCAAGACAAGAGTGAAATGCTGTCTGCACTCCAAGTGTACAAGTCTTGGTATAAGTGGAGGAAATGAAAACAGGGAAGAAAACCCAAATTATCAATAAGGTGCTTATTGGTAAATATCCACCAAAAGTGATAGATGCTGATTTGGGCAATTTTGCAAAGAAAACTATTGCTTCATGTTTAGTCAGGGAAAGGTGGGTATTCAGTAGAAACTCTTTACAATTTATAACTGGTTTACAGAATGCTATAAAGAGATTATCTATTAGTGGAAAAATCATTAGCATGGACATTACAGAATTCACGGGCAAGGCCATTTGCTTTCAAGTTTCATTCAAAAACAGAATTGGACATCTGGAGGACATCTGTTTAAATTCCACCCAATCAAAGACTTTATATTTATTCAGTCATCGGAAAGCAATGGCCTTGATCCTAGGGAACACCAGTCCCAATATACACGATCACATCAGGTAAAATGGGCAGAATAATTAGATATGTTCCTCAAGGCACTCAAACAAATTGTAGAATCCCACGTGAGACGAAATGAAGTTTGACATATTCCATCACCTTAAATCAGGTACTCTGAATATAGCTTATCTATGCTTGTTACCAAATTTCACAAAGGATGCTTTAGTCTGAAATAGGATATCAAGAGATATATCAGCCCCCTTGGCTTTGAGCCTGTGGGAGTGGATTAAAACTCACCTTGAAAACAATTGCTGAAAAGGTTTCAAAACAGGCAATTTCTTTGATCCTCCTTGTCTAATTCTGTAGCCGCCATTATTTATTTTACATTTCCAATAATGATAACTGCACTACAATGTATAAACCTTACAACATTGGTAATTTTCTGAAGCTTCATAGTCATAAGCCAATTGTACAAAAGAAAGCCTATTTAAACATTAGATTTAAGTTACTACCTTTTGTCAGTAGTCAGTGAATCGTTAGTGAGTTCATTTTGGCAATGTTCATTTTGAGAGAGACTGATGGCACATTTATTGCCAACTTCATGGCCAACCCTAATGGCTAAACTAAATGACCAAGTTTCTGCCTGTTCCTGTGCTAACTCCTCATTTTCCTCATTCTGTGATATTGGTTTGCAGGGTCTTATTTTGCTCAGATGGTGCGGAGTTAAATCTGGAGACAGGATGAGGAGGTCTGGATGTAAAAATCATATGGCACTGGAAATATCTAAACAAAGGGATGCCAGAAAAGGATGAATTCGCAATGTCAATTATACCAAGGTGTAAGACAGGAAGGGTTTTAATAAAGTAAATTGAAAGAAAACTTTTTCTTCCAGTGATGGGAGGGTTGGTAACAAGAGAAAATGGATTTAAAGGTGATTGTCAAAAAAGCCAAATGCAACTTGTCTTTTAATGCAGTGAATTGATAAGGATCTGGAATTCTTTGTTTGAAAGGGCAGTGGAAGCAGATGCAATAGTAACTTTCTAAAGGCAATGGGATCAATACTCCAAGGGGAAACAGATAATGCAATTGAGACAGAGTCGGTGAGTGGAACTAATTGGATAGCTGTACCAAAGAGTTGGAAATAATACAATGAGTTGAATGACCCCCTGTTTATTCTCTGATATGACACAATAAACTCATCCACCAAAGGAATAATTGGCCCAAAGGACACTACTTCATTTGGAATTTTTCCTCATGTCATTTGAGAAGCCAGGGCATAAACTGATCTCAAATCAGTGATTGGCCTCATTCTATGCTGTAACCTTTCTCTTGTTCTATAGATTACCATGAGTATTAAAGTGTCAGTATTGTTGGGGTCAAAGTCACTGCAGGTGGCAATTTGTTGCTCGGGGTCTCTAGTACTGCCACAATATTTTAGGTGGGTGCTGATTTTCCTTTACCCTGATGCTTCCAATGTTACTTTTGACTTTACAATGTACCGTTCCACAATTAAATACTCCGGAATAGTATGAAACATAGTACGTTGCCAGGTTATGCATCTTACCTGATTGGCCATTTTTTGACGACTTCAATGTTAGTTCACATGTTAACTCTGTAAAAGACAGCCAATAGTATAAATCAATATGGATAACGTTTAACCCTTGTGACCATTTGTGTGTACAGGGCTGGGAAGGGTGGGGGAAGAGGAGGGGATGGTGGGTAAACAGGAAAGGGATGGGATTATCGCCTGTCTCTTTTATTGAGTCAGCTTACCGACATGTTATAACCGAATATCAAGAAGGCAACATAATGAGGCAGCAGTCACAACTGAAGTTGTGTCTTCTGGCAGCTCATATTAGAGATCTGGATCTGCAATGGGTACAGTTTTCCAAACATTGGTTGTAAACTTCTGATCACTGTATCCCTAAAGTCTTGGTGTATGCTTGCAGAGGACAAGGCTTCCCATCAGGTAGCATGGACTCTAACTTAACCTCCACCAAACAATGTCTGTTCTTCTTTTGCAAAGACAGAACTGTGACTTCCTATCCCATTCGGGTTAAGGTTTGGAGGTGCCTGTCAGTAAATTCAACAATAGAGTTTACAATGTGCTTTCATCACCAGCAATAAGGCAATGTTAAGTACTCAGGACAAAGGCCAACGCCATTTGCATTACTCGAGTGCCTTCACAGAGACAGAGTAGACAGTGAGCTGTAGAAAAAGCCCCACTGGGATCAGTGGCTGAAAGTATAGTGAAGGAGACAATGAGTGAGGTCAAAAAGACGTGATCCTATTCGTTCTATGATACTGGCCTACCCAATCCACTTGGATTTGACAAACATGTGGATGATGACAGACAGCAAAGGATCTACTGATCCATCCAACCAACTCAGGACCATGTGATTTCTTGTGCCTCACTGAACATTTTGAATTGGCCAAAGGTGGAAGCCTGAGAGGGTAAAGTTCAGCACTCCTCCACCTAGTGCAAAATACATGGAAGTGGGTTGATTGTTTTTTTTATTCATTCATGGGATTCATCACTGATTAGGCCAGCATTTATTGCCCACCCCTGATTGCCCAGAAGGCAGTTATGAGTCAACCTCATTGCTGTGGGTTTGGAGTCACATGTAGGCCAACAGATAAGGATGGCGGATTTCCTTCCCTAAAGGACGTTAGTGAACCAGATGGGTTTTTCCTGACAATGGATTCATGATCATCATTAGACTCTTAATTCCAGATATTTATTGAATTCAAATTCCACCAACAGCTGCGGCAGGATTTGTACCCAGGTCCCCAGAACATTACCTGGGTCTCTGGATTAACAGTCCAGCGATAACACTACTAGGCCTTTGCCTTCCCAATTTTGGCACTTAGTATTTCAGTGGTTTTCAAGCAAGCATTTCCCATGGCTTCTGGAAGGGATCAGTCCATGTTCTAAGACCATGGATTACTGTGTTTGTGGCACATGACCCTCTCTCACAACTTAGCATGTGCCAGAATAGCTGATCTCAGTTGGGAAGCTTCAATTGTCCCTAAGTGGTGCTGGGATATTTTGACCCCTTCAATTCACCCCATTCTGATGGTTGAGCCCAATGACTGAATGCTCACTATCAAGCCTCAGGCAGGAGAAGTGGCCATGTGCGAGATGTATAGGGGTGTGTCAGCCCTGCACTCAGCAGCTAGCACACACTTCAGAATTATAAGCTATAATTATAGGTTTAAGATCCACACGAGAGCTGGAGTACAAAATTCAAGGAGGGCACTATCCAATGACCTGTCAAAAGTGCAGTCTTTCAGACAAGACACCAAACCAAGATCCTTACTGCCCTTTTGGGTCAGAGGAAAGCAATACTATGGGTGCTATTTCAAAAGGAGTTTATCCCTGGCCAACATTTATTCCTCAGTCATTATCACTGAAGACAGCTTATTTGATTACATTAGATAACAAGGTGTAGAGCTGGATGAACACAGCAGGCCAGGCAGCATCTGAGGAGCAGGAAGGCCGATATTTCGGGTCTGGACCCTTCTTCAGAATCTCCAGCATTGGCAGTTCCTACTGTCTCTATCTGAGTACATTGTTGTTTGTGGGAGAGTGTTGTATGCAAGTTGGCTGTCCTTGTTGGCATATGGTGTACATGTACCTTTGTGGGGCCATATCTTAAACTACTGTGAATCATTCACCCAACAAGACCCAGGATATGGTTATAGGGTATGACTGGACCGTACAGAAAGAGTTATCACCCTAGAGAATTCGAGGTGGGGGGGAAGCAGCTCCTAATAACCACATTACACTCTGTGAAGCTTAATTCTTCACCCTTCACTCAAGTCCTGCTCAAACCTTGTGTTGGTTAACAGCAGGGAATTGTCAGATTCCTTATCTCCTGAGATAGTTGCTTATAAAATAGAGTGCATTTAAACAGCAGTAAGTGCTGGGGGTTGGTCTTTCTCTGCCAAAGTGAGAATGTTGGCTGTGTCTGCCAACTGTAGGCTGCCAAAGTTCCTACGAAGATTTAAGGCAGTGCTTTCTTTCTGTATTTTGTCAAAACTCACACCGCAAGCACCAGAATTGCTCAAGGGCTGCCTGGAATGCTGGAAACACCATGGATTGACAGGGACAGAGACCGGCAGCAGGATTTTCTTAAAGTGCTTCAGGAGCTCAGAGTCAGATGCTTGTACCATGTGGGGAAGAGTGACAGGATGGGATTTTATCTGATGGTTGGCACCGATCCTCCGAAGTGGCCAGTTAATGGAAGCTGGAGGGGTGACAGGAAGCCCACCGGCAGTGGTTAAGCAGCAGGCTACCAATTCAGGCGAATGAGAGGGAGGGTGACCCTTGGCTACCATCGATGGAGCGAACTACAGCATGGCCTGCAGCTGAAGCCAGGCAGGCACGGAGGGTCTCTGAGCCTGCCTGGAGAGCTTGCTCCCCAATCTGCTACCAGCAGCTCCCTCCAGGCCACAACACTGTTCCCTCATGTCTCCAACAATAGGCTTTCAGTGGGCTGGAAGAAGCCTCAAGTGGAAACATGCCACATGTGGACAAGTAGCATTGCTTTACCCCCATCTCTGGGGAGAATGGCTCCAGCAGTGTACGGTGCTAGGAAACTGGCATCCAAACCAACAGGTTCATGCCCTTCTCCCCCTGTATTTGCTTCATTGGAAGCTAACAATCCTGTCCCCTGGCCTTCAATACAATACCTGACATCTGTAGTGTTGCTGTGGACAGTGGCCCAGTTAGAGGTGGATACTTACTCTCTAGAAACAGGAATGGATCAACAGTCATAGAAGCCTGACAGTGTGGAAAGAGGCCATTTGGCCTGTTGAGTTCTGTACTGACCCTCCAAACATCCCAACCAGACCCCCACTCTGTCCCCATAACCCTACAGTTCCCATGGCCAACCCACCTAGCCTGCATACTATGGGACATTTAGCATGGCCAATCCAACCAACCAACCTGCATGTCTTTGGACGGTGGGAGGAAACCGAGCACCCAGAGGAAACCCACGCAGACACTGGGAGAATGCACAAGGTCCACACCGACAGTCACCCAAGGCTGGAATTGAGCGTGCATCCCCAGTGCTGTGAAGCAGCAGTGCTAATCACTGAGCCAACAATATTGCATATATTTCCTCTGTCTGACATTGGAGTTTGCAATATTTTTTTCGTTTGCTTGCTCGATGGAATAGACTGCCTCTCATTAATACCCATCCTTGGGAAGTGGAGACAGTGAACCAAATCACATGCAATCCAAACACAGTAGGAGCAATAGCTGGATGCGAGGCAGCAAACATCTGCCGCATAGCACAATGTCTTCATCGCCTTTTAGGGACACCAATATATTTTCTGTCAGACAGAATTCTGGAACACTTGCTTTGAACTTATACGTCCAAAATCTTCCTTCCATCCTTGACTCCCACTTCAGCACCCCCTACAGACTTGAATGATTGTATCTCTCACTGTGTAAGAGTGGCATCGACTTCACAACTGGTGCAAGTTTCAGATTTAAGACTTTATCACAATATGCATATCATATTACAACATCCTACACCAGAACAATGTTTCCATTGGAAGTTCCAATGTCCACATTTACTGTTAAAACTCCTGGTGTAAACTTGTCACAGTGTAATTACCCCCTCCTGCCAGTGGAGGCAGCGTACCACAATACAGCCACAGACAGGAATCGGGAAATTATAGCACTGTGAGTTTACTTTACTTAGGCAATTTTTATGATAATACATAAGAACTTTTAATTGAAACAAAGTGGTTAAATAAATGGCTTTGGACTGGCAACTCAATCACATCTCTATGTCTAGATTCAAATATCTCCTGCCTGCTACTCCTGGTAAACTGAAGATTATTCTGATATGAGTTCTGTGATGTTTGAATAATCACACTTCAGCCTTCATGGAATAAGAACTCTATCTTGTTTATTCTGTAGGCTGACTGCACAGAAGCACACTGCTCAGACTGCACCCGACCGGTTCAGACTGATTCTCCTACACTATACCTTTGTCCTGGTCCAGCTATGAAAATGTAACCTACTGAAAGACTCAAACGTAACATTAGTTCCTAGTTCTAACTTCTAATAATATAAATACATAATATACAATATATGCTTCCTCTGACTCCTGATAAGCAATGGCACAGCATATTAATGGATTGACTCAAAATGTATTTATGATTAATAATGTTGAGTATTCTAATACAGTGTTAAAGTTATTAATCTTTTTCCTGAAAATATAGTCTTCTCTGTCTTTGTAGCTGTGATCGTTATCTTGATATATTCCAACGCCTGAGTTATGTTTTGGGAGAGCAAGGAAAATTGTTTCAATAGCACCTCAATACAGTATCTTGCATTTTAGTATAAAGAAACTTGTAATTTTAACAATCCTTAAATAATTTAAAAATAGTAATGGAGGATAATCAGGACATTAAAAAAAATACAAGCAAAACAAGAGGGTTCATTTCTAGGGAAATGCAATTGAAAAATGAAGATATGTTAAATTGGAATGGAAGTTTGGTCTGATCACACATACTGACCATAGTTCTGGTCTCAATGTTATGAAAAAGAATATGAAGCACTGAAGGTGCAAAAATGAGTCACAGGGATGATGC